ACCGCGATCGAACTGCCATGGCCTTCCGAGAAGTAAGTGAGTAGTTTTCATTGGTGCGACTTCAAATTCAAGCTCGTCGTTGTACGCTCCGATCTCAAAGCTGATCCTAGCTTGCTTTGTTACACGAACGGTACCATAGTCGTTAAGCCATTGCAAGCTGTATGGGTCGCGTTGTCTCGTCGTGTGCAGCCCTAGCTTGTCTACTACCTCTTGACTAACGACGTTGCACAACTTCCTCCATCCACGATCAGAGACAAAACCTTTTCGGCGACCAAACAACGATAATTAAACAAATTCTCTATATGACTGGTATCTGACTGACCATCCACGGTTCGAACTCGTCGACTAACGGTAATGAGCTTTCCTGGGGCAGGTTCTGCTTCAAGCTTCTTGTTGACGTCACTGTCATCTGAATTTTGTTCGTCGTCGGTGAGATATTGGTCGTCCCTGATGATTAACGTCTTCAGATTGGGACATTGATTTGCTTTGTGCCCTCTACCATGGCATTTTTAGCATTGGATGCCTCTAGAGCGCTCAGTAAGTACTGGATTTCTGTTCCTAGGCACCAATTTGCCAGATTCAGGTCGTGTCTGCTGGGAATTAGAGTCGGCACTTCACTCTGCGGCCGCCTTGTTTGTTAGCGTGAACTTCTTCTGCTTTTCAACCTTAATTGCGAGGTGAGGGCTTCCTCCAGGTCGACAAAAGATCGAAGATCCGCTTCATGTCGAATCTCGCGGTTCAAACCATGAAGAAATCGCGCCACCGTCGCTTCTCGATCTTCCCTGACGTCGGCCCGCATCATCAGCAGTTCAAGTTCTTGGAAGTACTCCTCCACACTCCTTGACCCTTGTTTAATCCCTTGCAGATATTCATAGAGTTCCCGTTGGTAATAGGCAGGTACGAACCTATCTCGCATAACTCCACGTAGCTCGTCCCAGGTCGTGACCGGATTCTGATTATTTCGTCGCCGGCGAAGCTGCAGCTGCTCCCACCACTGGGGGGCGTAATTCAAGAATTCATAAGTAGCCATAGCTACTTTCTGGCCTTCAGTAAACTGTCCACATTGGAAGAAAAGCACAATCTTCCTTTCCCAGTAGAGATATGTCGAGGGATTCATTATCCCCTGAAACGGTGGTACTGATAGCTTGATGCCCGGAGGGATTGCCGGTTCTGCTTCTTGTTGTCGTTCGCGATGATCACGGTGTGGAGGTTCTCGATTGGGATCAGCAATGACGAGTCACCGTTCAAGCTCCGTGACTCTATCCAACAATGCTGGATTGCCAGCTAGGTTTTCTCCGTCGGGAGCTTCCTCTGTTCGAACCCGATTCACCGGCCGAGCAATAGTCTCAAATTGCGGGTCAATTTCTTGTTCAAATTGCCCTAATTGATCTCGAATTTGAGCCTGAACCATCTCCTCCATACGATCCAACAATTTGTTCATGTCAAACGTTTGTCCCGCCATCTCTATTCGCTCCTTCTTCTTCGTTGATTCTGGAAACACAAAAGTAGGGTCTTCCGACACAGGTCCTTTTGACCTTGTCTAGGGCGTCGTTGTGACCACGCCTTCCTTCGTTCTGTCCATTGTGTAGAACCAGGCTCTTGATGCCACTTGAAGAACCCCTAGATGAGGTTTATTGATCATAATAGCACAACTAAGGAATCTAAGAGTTCTTGACCAAGAACTCCACAAACAGGGTATGATTTGAATGTGTGTTGGTGGAAGTTTCGTGCAATTCTCACAAAGGGAGAAAGGCTCGTAAACTATAGGTAGAAGCTCGGCCACGAACATCATGATTAGCTGAACGATACAAGCACTCAAGCTGCTTAGAACTCCTTCTAAACAACTCTCAAACTCACGAAAGCAACAAGCTTTGTGAACCAAACTCAAGTTTGTATTCAATGCTATGAAATCTGAAAATTACAATGAATCAAAGCTACTTAGATAGACCTAGCCAATCCTACTACTCTTCGAGAAGTCCTAAAAAAAATTACAATTGGAAAAGGAAACAAAACCAACAATGAAAAGGAATTAAACACAAAACAACAAAGGAATCCTAATACGATAAGGATTCGGATTGCCTTATTTCCAAAGTCAGAAACTCAGCCTTCCATTCTTCATTCCAGTCATCCAACGCCATGTTGTTGTAGTAGAAGGAACCTACTTTCATGCTGCACAAAGATCCATCCTCGACTCTCCCCCATGTGCTTCGAATACTCCTCCAAAGTAGGGTTCTCAAACTGGTTCTGACACTTGGCCAATTTTTGGCAGAATTCCAGTTTCGACATAGTGTTTTGAGACGCTTTAACCATGACCCTCCTGCCTTGTTCTGTAGCTTTAGAATACTCTATCTTGTAGAGAAACTCACCAGCTTCAATACAAGACTTCCTTTGCCCATTTCCATTGATCCAATTGGAAGAAACTTGAGTGCCAAGTAAGGTACCTGAAACGGATAAAACACTTGGAAAAAATTTGGAATTCATTTCATAGCTTGAGATGGATTTTGATTCACTCCATTCAGCTTGTAGACTGAGCCAAATGGGATCATATCACTTCTTCATCATTGGATGCTATCTCTTTCCCTTTTGCCGACAACATCTTTACTATCATGTTAGGTGATCCTTCATTTCATCAAAACCAGCCAGTTTTTCATCAAACCCTGTTATATTTCCCTCAATATCACTCAACTTCTTCTGAAAAGCCTCCATAACGAACTCAGCCTTAGATCTCGTTAGGTATGTAAAATCTTGACTTTTTCCCGGTGGATAACCAATTTTAAAGAAAACCTGGTGCTCTGTTTTTCTATCATAGTGAAATAATTCGTAATTAGTCGATGTAGAGTGACATGATGTCATGCTTATGCTAGATGAGGTGAATTCATGATATGTTGCTTTTGTTAATGCATGAATGCAGTTCTATGGCTTGCCAATGAGACAACATCTTTGCTCCCAAACTTTATATTTACAATAGCTGGGGCTACTATAACAATTCCCTTGCGTTTCAAAGTGCTATACGCTTATTACATGGTCTCGTACATATATCACAAGATACCATGATTACAAAAACAACCCAAAATACATTGTTCACCCCCTACTACCTTACATGGTCATATTACCAAACATTAAAATATGATTAGTAGAAACTCCCGTAATACATCAGCTCCTGTTGCAGGTTGTCAAGAAAGGTTCGTAGGCTTGGATCCGGATTCTCCATTTGTGTCAAACGTAGTCTGGCACCTCGGCTTCACTAGACAAATCATATGCCCTTCTAGTAGCTCCTTTAATGACTTCCAAGAGACGGTTAACTTTCCATTCTTCATTGAGCTTATTGTTTTTGAGTGTCTATGCTATAATTTGCAAGTCCGCATTTTCTATCTCGATGGCCTCCTTTTCAGCGATTAGTCTGTCAATCTCCTCACGATACTTGGTGGATTCCTTCCTTTGCTTACTGATAAGATACTCTTTTTTTTACCCCATGCTTCCATATGCTCTAATCTTTCTTGCATCACCTGATTTGCACTTCGGTTTTCGTTGATTGCAGACCTTTGCTCGTGGCTCATATCTTTCAACTGCATAACCCTTTGATTCAGGATATGGTTTGCTTCTTCAAGTTTCTTCATTTGGGTGAAATGCTCTCTTGTGTATGCTCGCATCTCATCATTTTCTCCTTGTAGTTGGCTTAAAGCCATATCTTTACCCAAAAATCCCACTTGATGATGCATCTCAAGTGGCAATCTGGATTCAAAGTTCATTTTTCTCATGCCTTTCCTGTCTATAGTGACTGCTTTTCCTCGTCCCTGATACTATGGTGTGTATTTGGGAGCCAAGAAATCATGGAGGTCTCGATCACCTTTCCTCATTAAAATGCTCAAACTATGATTGATTAGTCTTGGGTTTTTCCAACAAGGTAGCACTTGTTCATTTTTAGCCTTCGAATCGAGATTAAAGTATCATTAACTAAACCAGCCCATTCCTCAGTTGCTGGCACAATCTGCATGCAACCAACTTGCCTTCTGAACATATTTGGTGCATACGCCACAAATCCTTCGGGACCTAGCAGAGGTACCCATGGGTTGATCCCCCAACTATACAATACACTTCCCTCATACATCCACGGGGCTTTCCATTGGATATCATCACTCCCAAATGTGGCGAAATAACTCTTCCAATGCTCTTTAGATGCCGACATATATATCAGATCCCCTGAGGAAAACTCTCTAATTGAGCATCTTCTTTCGTCGAAGACTAACGAGTATCTGATTATCGGGATTCCCCTTCTCGGAGAAGGTTTTAGATGTCCAAAGATCCAGATCACCAATAATGGGGCGCAACCAATGACTTTCCTACATCTCCCCAATGCTGCCAATGTTTCAGATAGAATGGAGAATATTGGGTTGACATCATGTATATCCTGTTCAAACACCTTCATGGCGGAGTTGTCAATGTGGTATGGGATTCGAGGGTATAGGATTAATCCATATAATACCAACGTGAATATCTTCAAGTCCTTCTCATTTTTCTGTCCGATGCTGATATGAGATATGAGTGTATCAACACGAATGTATTCGATTTCACCGTTAGATCCTATAAGATGCTCTATCTTCGCACTTTTTGTATATAGAATCTGGGATAATAAATTCTTCGCCTTGAGATAGGGCTTATGGATGTAGATTTTATATGGCTTCTTGGGATATATTTGGAGGATATATTTATACACTTCCATAAGGGTGAGAAATCATTCTCATTTATGGAGAAGAAATAATAAAAACGGATCCCAGTAGTTCAACAGTTCTTTAATCATGTTTGTTGGGAATGGGACATATAACAGATCAGGTATTCTCCCGTATGTGCGAGTGAACACCTTCCGCTCCTGTTCAGTGAAAGTTCCCCACATCTGCTTGACTCATTGGATCCTGTTTTCAAGAATCATAAATGGCCCCACGGGTAGCAGATAAATCACTGCGCCTCTTGGTAGACGATCACCTCTTTCCCTATACCGTTTCATTGAATTGAACATGACTATTTCTTCTTCTTCTTCTTCAATAATGGGTGATATTCCCGCCATGCTGTAAATATAAAATTTTGCAGCACGAATGTTATCTTCTGGCAAAATCTATTCATGAGATGACATGTTAGCAATATCATCATTAAATAATAAGTGTGAATGCATGCGTGCAATGATATGGTTACCGCGCACAGTTAAAGTTAAGCCATCCACATAGACATTAGACACAAACACATAAAACCTTTTATTTCATCATTCAGGGTTACATCGGTATTTTACGACATAATGGCTACCTAACTGGTTACCATGCCCTGAGCATTTTGACCCTCTTGACAAAAGAGGGGAAGGCATCAAAACTCCCTTTCCTTAGTGTCTCTTTTTTTGGGAGTTTCGGAGCAAAATGTGTCAAAATAGCCGACTATTCTTAGTAGTCGACAGTTACTACGGCTCCGATCTTCCTTCCAACATAAGTTAGGGCCCGGGGTCCTCAGGGTCTGCATCATCTAGTGCTTTGGAGCAATCCCCTATGTAAGCCCTCACTTCTGCTGCCTGCTTCATTTTATATTCGACTTCCTTTAGAAAGTATTTCTCTCTAATGAATGGTGGGAAATAGACCTCTTTTATTCTTCCGTCGATGTGGTAGTTTTTGGAGGATCTTAATGCCACCGACACTTCATTTGGTGACAAGTTGTTACTGACACAGAGTCTATCCTTCATGCTTTTCCACGATGTAGCCATTTGACACACCAAAACACAACACCAAACTGCGACCAAGTGTAATCGCAGTCCGGGAATGCAGTAACAGGCAAGTTTAATTATCAACCCGAGGTCTAGATCTACTGCTTACTCCGTGATTCTCTATTATCTAGCAAACTAGTTCGAGTGATTGTTGTGAAAAGTAAAAGCAACACGAAAGCAGTAAATTGTTCGGTTTTCTAAAGCAGGCAAGAGTCACTCGGGATTGAGTCCCCCTAGCCCCTTAGTTAGGTTCAATTGCAATTCCCTGGGTTGATTTACTGTTGATTAGACTGCGGAAGATCCGACAGTAGCTTGGAATCTCTTAAGCTGACCAAGCCCTCTCAGTCTAACTACCCGGCAGACGACTAGTCTTCACCGGGATAGAAAGCTGAGGCTATGGACACAGAACTCCACTACTGGCGCCAAGAACACCAGTACAAAGTAGTGAACTGGCTAACTCTCGTATAGCCAATCTCCTACTATCGAATGAAGAGGCTCTAACAACCTAATCAGATTCTATCTATCTCAGGTTGCAGCAGAAATTGAGAAAAGCTGATCAGACTCAAATCAATTCATTAAACATGCGTCATTCGATTAAAATCAAACAGTAATATCATCCCAAGTCATTACAATCAAATCCCTAACACAAGGAGCTAGGGTTCTTCATACCCAAGTGAGAGAAGGGTTCTACTCCATAGAGAGAGAAGAGAAAACAAGAATCGGATTAGTCATACTCATAACGATGAGGATAATCTGCTCCGGGACGATGATTTTCACTCCTATGGCGATCTCCAAGCTCGATTCGATGAAATCCAGCTCTAAGACAGCTTCTAGGGTGTGTTCTTCGTACTTTCTCTCTCTAGGGCTCTGTTTTTGCTCTCAAAACACGATTCTCCCACTTTTCGCTCGGAATAGGCTCTAAAACCAGGAATTCCCGACTCGCACGGCCAGGGTGCACGGCCGTGCAGATCACCCACTTGGCCGTGCACTCCAAAACGCAGCGTATCAATTAGTTCGACCTCAGGCTTCTCGCACGGCCAGGGTGCACGGCCGTGCAATCTTCAGGGTCTGCCCGTGCATGGCCTCGGCATAAAGCGCACAACCATCTTGCTCACGTGCACGGGCGTGCTGCCTCCCTGGTCTGCCCGTGCAGCTCCCCAAAAACCTCGCCATTCGTCCGTTCTTCGTCCAAACGACCCCAGACTCGCTCCTAAGCCTTCATTCACGTACTAGGACCTGAAACATCACAAACAAGCACAACCTAGCGTGAAATCGGCCTAAAACACGAGAATCAACACCTCAAACGGTGTAAGAATGGGGGTAAAAACATGTGTAAATGACGGTCTATCAAACTCCCCCACACTTAACTGTTTGCTTGTCCCCAAGCAAACCAAGTCAGACACCAGGTAAGCTTATACATTTCAATCAACCAACATTGGGGACAAGTCATAAAGGCACAGAACACGTGAATCGCACTGGTTTTCAAACATCAATACATGCACAACCTCAATAACAACCTGGACAACCACCACAAAGGACATTCGAGTGCAGCAAATCGAGTAAAGGAAGAGTCTCCCTTCTGTTCACTGGCCAACCTAGACTTGATTCAACCACTTACTCAAAACAGTCAACTCATGCATCCAACTCAAGACATGAGAATGGAGACCGAGCAATCTAGGTCCTCACCGGGGTACAAGAGCATATAGAAAATGAAAATGAATCACTCACTCTCGACCAGTGGGGTCAGGACAATTTTGATGCGAAAGATGCGCATGCTATTTCTCTCAATCCCTATCATCTCTTCACCATGATGGCAGCCTCTAAATGCTAGAGTTCACATATGGGGTGTCACCACTAACTAATCAGGAGGTCTTAGACACAGGTTCAAATGACTGGCTAGGGTCTTGGACATGGGGAAAAGGCCTTTTAGGTGGTGGAAGTATTCATAGCAAAAGGTTCCACATTTTCCAAACACACAATCACAGTCAAACAACCCGGTATTTTCTTTCTGCTATTCTGCATTACTCAATATCTTAAGAGCACAAGACAAAGGAGGCATAAACATCAGCATTTCCAAGCCAGACTGCTAAGAAACACTACTTACTGGGCATTATTCAGATTTCTGGTAGTGGCACTCTTTTGCTTTCAATTTTTTTTCTTTGTTTCACTTTCATTTTTCTTTCCATTTCCTAAGAGAGCCACCACTTCTGCATAAACTTCAAACACCTGCCCAACTTTTAAGCACTACCTCCAACACTCACATAGACTTTAGCAGAAACAGCAGAGACTATATAAAAACCACTCTGTGGAACCTTCTAAAAGATGCAACAAGGGTGATTTTTTCCATTATAGACCAAAAGAAAGGATAACACACTGCTCAAAGGGGCTGACTAGGGGATATGACACATCAGGACAGTCAGTTTTGGGCGTGGCTAATCCTATGCCCCCATCATCTTAGCTAGTGACAACGTGAATGCTACACATCATGGAAGAGGGATCTATCGCACAAGAAAGAAACGAGCAGGCTCAAATCTCACATGGCTACCTATATGCTCTATCTCACATTCTGATACCCTGAACTAGATGCATAAACGACTGTCAAGGACAAGTAATCAGATCAAGTCAGATCAAGTCACAGTTGGCAAGCAAACAGTTGAAAAACTGAACCCCTACATCGTTCTACTGCACATCTCAATCCTCATCATAGGTTGTCCTAGTCGCAAACAAGTTGTCATGCATTAATCCGAAAACCAATCAATTCATCCATCAAAACACAGTGCCAATATGATCAAACAGCAGTACTTGGAGCCCTCAAATCGTAAGATTCGGACAGCGGACTAGGCTCCAAGCACCATCATAAATATGCCAACCGATACAAAGCACCCCCCCACACTTAAGCACGACATTGCCCTCAATGGAGTAGAGGGAAAAATAAAGGGAACGATGTTACCGGGTAAGAACACTGCTTGGGGACTGGAAGTGGACCAGTCAGCGAGAAACGAACGGGAGAGTGGACAATGCTGCACAAATCGAACACCAGAAACACACTAGCACACTGTGCGTTAGGGATAAGTGTTAGCCCAGACGGCTACATCAAACCACAAAGGAAAAATAAAAAACAAACACAAACGACACTAAGTTCAAGCTCCGCACACATGGAGCAAACACACAAAAGTCTAAAAAGAAAAAAAACAAACACACTGAGACGGGCAACGAGTACAGCCTACTCGTCGCCAAGATCGTCGAGGTCGATGTCGTTCATGAACGCATCATCATCAGCAGCGCCAGCAGCACCGTCATGTGGAGGGGAGTCATCCCAGGGAGTCCTCCAGACAGGTGGATCGCCCGGAATCAGCTGAAGCAGGTGCTGCTGCACCTCCTGCATGCGCCGTGAACGGCGCTTCTCCCGCTCGATGTGGGCGAGAGTCACGTCCTGCTGAGTCTGGATCGTGTTCAGCCGCACTTCATAAGCATCCATCCTGTTCCGGTACTCGGCCTGATCTGCCGCGTACTGCTGATGGAACTGCATCTGCTGGTCGAGGATCAGCTGGTTCTGGATCCTCAGCTGCTCGAACTGCTGGGCGAAGTAATCCTGGCCCTGGAAAGTGGAGCTGCTACCCCCGTAATGGAAGTCAGTCTGTAGTGGATCATCAGCAGCATCAGCAGCAGCATCCACCTCCTCGGGATCCACCTCATCGGCAGCCTCCTCCTCCTGGCCCTCGGCCTGGGCCTCTGGTACGGGCTTCGCGGGGATCGGAGGCTCCGGAAATCCATCGACCCACTGAACACCGTTCCTCTCCCGCAACAGCAGCATCTTCCCGATCGTCTTGCTGCCAAAGATGAGGGTGTCTCCCTCCTCGGTGCACCCCTGCAGTGAAAGGCCAAAGAAGGTGACCAGGCGGGTGATGAGGGGGCCGCATTGGAGGCTCTTCAGCTCGGTGGCCGTCTTCTCGAAGGTCTTTGCCACCACCGAACCCAGGTGGAGAGCATGGCGGCGCTGGCGGATCAAATGGAGGAAGTACAGGGTCCTCTTCGTGATGGCGCCGGCGCTTTCTCCTGCAGGGGTGTAAGACTTCGTCAGCAGGTGGTGGAGAAGCCGGTTGTCGATCTGCAGGGTAGATGCCTTCGTCCTCCCGGACCGGAAAGGACGCGTCTGGCCTGGCCGATCCAGGCTGGTGTACAGCCTCCCGAAGTCCACCTCCGGTGGCTCATTTGCCTTGGTGACGTAGTCCTCACTGTCGTTGAGGTCGAGGTCGAGAGCCTCGGCCAGCTCGTGGTAGCTCAAGGACCGGGGGACACCGCCCAGCCTGAATTGGACGGTTGTACCGTCCTGGCAACTGGTCGTGGAATTGTGCTTGAAAGTCGTGTAGAACTCCCACACCGGCTCGTAGTAGACCTTCTCGCAGATCTGGAGCAGACGGCGCCATGCGGTGTTGGCGACCGCGGCGGAGAGCTGCGCGTAGCAGTGCAATCGCCGAAACTCCCGTTTGGACCAGCAATGGTGGGCGCCAAACGGGGTTTCCGCTACCTTCCTGAAGCGCTCTGCGGTGGGGCCCCTCCTGAGATCCCGGATGAACGGGTGCTGGAGATTAGGTTGCGCCATTGCCTTGCAAAACAACAAC